ACATCCTTTGTTCTATCTCGTCTTTTCGCTGCCTGTGAAGTATAAATTGTGTTCCTCCAGCTCTGCACCTTGTTATCTCAGCTGTCTTTTAAAGTTGCCTTTAAATATTATTGTGCATTTAGGTGAAATTAAAAGTTGGTTCTTGATTTATACTTCACAGGCAGCGAAAAGACGAGTTAGAACAAAGGATGTCATCATTGCAGGAAAACCGCCGAGAATTAATGGTTCAACTAGAAGGCCTGATGAAATTACTGAAAGTAAGGCTATTCAATGGGTAAATTAAAAGCCTGATCACAACAGGTCAATGACATGACTGCGGTTATTATTTCCACATGAATTTCTTTTTGTTTTTTACAGTTAAAATATAACAGCAAAACAGCACAATGTAAAAAGATAGGCATTCACAAATGTAATCAACATATACAGGATGATGACTTTCTTCTCTATAACTTTTAGCCCTGACTACATTGGGACTGAGAAGATGTGGGCTGGGAAGTTCCTGGAAATTGCCCACTCTCTTCACCAATAACTTAGATTTTTTGCATGACTCTGAGGGAATTCATCCAAAAGCAATTTTTAAATTTCTCTTTGTATTTATAGCTGTTATCAACGTAAATTGTTGGAACTTTAATTTTGTAAACAATAATTTCTAAAAAGATATATTTGTATCTGTTTGCTTGGAAATGACTGTTTAAAATAAAAATCTGTAGATTGTTTAAAAAGTTACATGAAGTACATTAACTAAGTAATACTTGATTTTTAAACTTTCAAATAGGAAGAAGAAATGAGGCAGGAAGTAAGTTTCCTGATTCATCTTTGAACAATCATTGCATCTTTATTTTTTATCTTACTCTGGCGTTCATGTTTTGTTTAGCTTTTTGCCTGTGTTGTGTGTAAATAAAAATACTTAGTTTACTACAACCAGCCAGTTTTACTGTGGCAATTGATACTAACATTATGTGAAATTATAAAGCTTGGTTATGGATTGGTATACTTACTGATTTCTAATTAGACACTTTTTTACTTATGAAAGCATGAGAAAATCATTGAAATGTGTTTTTTACTATTCTTTGATAATGTTTTGACTCCCATTGAGTCACAGATCATTGAAATAGAAGTAGGAGCAGGCCATATGGCCTTGCGTCTGCGTTGTCATTTACTAAAATTAAGTTGAGGAGAAATTACTTTCTTTCATCATTCAGTGGATATGGGTATCACTAGCTAGATCACAATTTATTGACTATCCCTTCAAAAGATAATGAAGAGCTGCCTTCTTGAACTGCTACAATCCCTTAGAGGTGCTGTTAGGGAAGGAGTTTCAGGATTTTGACCCAGCAACAGTGAAGGAAATGCAATATAATTCCAAAACAAAAGACCCAAGGGTGGGCGAGGGGGGATTCATTCCCATCTCCTCCTGCCAACCCTCATGCTTCAATTGCCCTTGTAAATGTTCACAGATATTGGAGTGGCGAAGGTAAACAGCCAGAAGGCCATGTACTGAGTTTCTCCACCTTTAAACTCACCAGTGCTGTAAAATCCAGTCTTTACTGTCTCTTTTCCATCCTTTAATGAATTCTCTCTTGATGTTGGTATATTACTACTGAACCTCATGAGGCCTTATCCAGTGCAACAACCCTTTTTTGTGGCACCTGAACAAATACGTTCTGAAAATCCAAATAAAGTGTATCCATTGTATCCCCTTTATCTACTCTGTAAAGAGTGTAATCAAGAAAAATTTATTGTTTTATGAAACAAATTTCCATTTCATAACACTGTTAATTCTGCCTTATCATTTTATGATTTTTCCAAGTGCCCTCTTTATAAACAGAGGAAATGTTGGAGGTACACTGCCGGTCTGACATCATCAGTGGAGGGTGAAACTCAGTTGATATTTCAGTTGTTATGTTTCATCAGAACATGATGTCATGACCTGAAACTTTAACTCTATTTCTCTGTTTCATTTATTGTCTGTCCCTAATAGCCCTGGAGAAGGTCTTAAATGTAAATGAATGCTTAATAAGACATCTCAGAAGGCAGTGAACAGTCGGTCCCTTTTCTGTTGTCTATTGTCATATGTCGATTAGACCTGGGAATGGTGGCAGATTTGCTTTTCTAAAGCACTTTAGTCAACTAGATGGCTAGTTTTGTTTCTTCCTGGCCACCCTTACTAATACTTGCTATTTATTCAGATTTATTTGATTTGAAATCAAAATTTCCAGTTTCCATAATGATGTAATCTGTCTCCCCAGAGCAATAGCTTATATCTCTGTTGCTGGTCCAGTGACATGATCACTACATCATTATCTCCATTGGCTAAGTCTTGGGAATTGCAATTAGATTGCTCCAGGTATCCTGATCTCACTCTACCAGATTCCACTGGTACGATGCTCTGAATAAGAACATCAGAGGCTTAGTACAGTTGTGGTATTAAGCAGGCTGACTTCAGGTGTAGCCATTTCACTCAGCTGTCTTTTTGTTAGTCAATATCTATAGAACTGTGAAAGATTCTGAACTGCTGTCTGCTATAAAGTAAGCAAGCATTGTAAAATGTAATTTGAAAGGAGTTGAAGATGATGAAAATTGGGCAAGATGAAATGGTTGCATTTTGTTTTGGTGAGCTGATCCTCCTGCTCCTCTTTCACATCAGCATCAGTACATGCAGCCAGGTAACAAGAGAGGGAACCTTTTTTCTTCTCCTTGTTGATTTCTTCGTCCTTATCCTCAATTACTGTACCACAGATGCCACCCAGACCCAGTACACCATTACCCCCTTCCCAACGCGCACGCGCGCGCGCGCGCGCGCGCGCGCACACACACACACACACACACACACACACACACACACACACACACACACACACACACACACACACCCTATCTTCATACACCAACCTATACCATGGCTAAGCCATCTAACCTGCACATCCCTGGACACTACTGAGCAATCCAGCATGGGCAATCCACTCAACTCGAACATCTTCGTACTATGAGAGGAAACCTGAACACCTGGCAGAAACCCACGCAGACACAGGGAGAACGTACAAACTCCACACAGACACACTGTGCCACCCTACATTGGAAGTTTACAAAACAACTGCTGGGCACTCTTAATTAACAAGTTAGAAAAAGATAGACCTTTTTTGTTGACCATCCCTAATTGCCCTCTACCTGAGTGCCCTTTAACTATGTGCCATTTAAGAGGCATTTGAGTCAACCAAATTACTGTAGATCTGGAGATAGATAATGATAGCAGATTCCTTCCCTAAAAGCTAACAATGTACATCAACGTTAGTTTCAGAGCTTCCAATTTCAGATTTATTTAAATAGAACTTAAACTCAGCCAATGGCTGTGGTGGGATTTGAAGCCATGTCCTCAGAGCATTAAAATCTAGATTACTAATCTGGTTGGTTAACTCAGTTGGCTAGGCTTGTAATGCAGAATGTTGCCAACATACATGGGTTCAATTCACGCACTGGCTGTGGTTAACATTAAAGGACTTTCCTTCTCAACCTCTCCCCTCGCCTGAGGCATGCTGACCTTCAGTTTAAACCACCAGCTGTTGTCTCTGTCTAATAAGAGAGAAGCTGTATGGTCTGATAGGATTATGGCAACTTTTACCTTTACCTTTTATCATTCTGATGACATAGCCATTCCCTTGACTGAGTTTAAAATGCTACATTTATCTCAGCAGGGGTTTATGAGTTCACAATTTGACTGACATCTTAAAGAGGCTAATAAATGATAAAACATCGCCGAGGCCAGGCGCCAACTCTCCGACACCACCTCCTACCGCCCCCTTGATCATGACCCCACCCCCGACCACAAAACCATCATCTCCCAAACCATCCACAACCTCATCACCTCAGGTGACCTCCCACCCACAGCCTCCAACCTCATCGTTCCCCAACCCCGCACCGCCCGCTACTTTCTCCTTCCCAAAATCCACAAACCTGACTGCCCAGGTCGACCCATTGTCTCCGCCTGCTCCTGCCCCACCGAACTTATCTCCACCTATCTCGACTCCATTTTCTCCCCCTTGGTCCAGGAACTCCCTACCTACATCCGTGAAACCACCCATGCCCTCCACCTCCTCCAAAACTTCCGATTCCCCGGTCCCCAACACCTCATCTTTACCGTGGACATCCAGTCCCTATACACCTGCATTCCCCATACAGATGGCCTAAAGGCCCGCAGCTTCTTCCGTTCCCGCAGGCCCGACCAGTCCCCCTCCACTGACACTCTCATCCGCTTAGCCGAACTCGTCCTCAACCTCAACAACTTCTCTTTCAATTCCTCCCACTTCCTACAGACAAAGGGGGTGGCCATGGGTACCTGCATGGGCCCAAGCTATGCCTGCCTCTTTGTAGGTTACATGGAACAATCCCTCTTCCATAGCTACACTGGCCCTAAACCCCACCCTTTCCTCCATTACATTGATGACTGTATCGGCGCCGCCTCGTGCTCCCACGAGGAGCTCGAACAGTTCATCCACTTCACCAACACCTTCCACCCCAACCTTAAGTTCACCTGGACCATCTCTGATACCTCTTTCTCCTTCCTGGACCTCTCTGTTTCCATCTCTGGCAACCACCTAGAAACCGATATCCATTTCAAATCCACCGAATCCACAGCTACCTAGAATACACCTCCCACCTACCTTCCTGCAAAAACGCCATCCCCTATTGCCAATTCCTTCGCCTCCGCCGCATCTGCTCCCAGGATGAGGCATTCCACTCCCGTACATCTCAGATGTCCTCGTTTTTCAAGGACCGCAACTTCCCCCCCGTCAGTGGTTGAGAACGCCCTCAACCGTGTCTCCCGCATTTCCTGCAAATCATCCCTCACACCCCCTCCCCACAATAACAACCAAAACAGAATTCCCCTCGTCCTCACGTACCACCCCATCAACCTCCGGATCCAACGCATCATCCTCCAACACTTCCGCCATCTGCAATCCGACCCCACCACCAAAGACATTTTCCCTCCCCACCCTTATCTGCTTTCCGGAGGGACCACTCTCTCCGTGACTCCCTTGTCCGCTCCACACTCCCCTCCAGCCCCACCACACCTGGCATGTTTCCCTGCAACCGCAGGAAGTGCTACACCTGCCCCAACACCTCCCCCCTCACCCCCAGGCCCCAGGAAGACTTTCCACATCAAGCAGATGTTCACCTGCACATCTGCTAATGTGGTATACTGCATCAGCTGTTCCCGTTGTGGCCTCCTCTACATCGGGGAAACCAAGCGGATACTTGG